GGCCCGATGAGATCCCAGAGGCTGAGGATGAATTATCTCCCGCGACGTGCTCGTTTTGTCGGTAGAAATGAGGAAGTAAATCAATGGTACGTCGATCTTTGTTTCTTTTCTGACAATGAAGGCAAGAATAACTCAAACACAATTTCCTTATTTCCTTATAAAAAGTAAGATACAACTGAGAATGTAGGCTACATATTATAATCTTTCCATTTCTAAAATCTGAAATAATAAGGATTATTACATGTTACAATTTAATAAATATTTCCTTTGATATAAAACGTTTATACATAGTTTGATGTGTAGCACGGAACAGGTCGACCTAATCCACTTTGGTTTTAAAACTGGCTTGTTTTTTGTACATTGACAAGTATTATTAAATCTTACTGCAATTAAGATTTTTGGACTGATAATTCGAAAATGTCAAATATTTAATAGAATTGCATAAATATGCCTAAAATAGATTAATACCTAAAATTATATCCATTTTGCTAGGTATCTACAAACAGTGGCCGATCAATGGATGGTTTGCTGGTTTTTGGGTATTTGTGCTGGAAAAACTGGACAACTTTAAGTATGAATTTATCACAAAATGTAAAGAAAAGAACTTTAGTCAAAGAAGACAAGGGTTTCAAAATTCTGCAGAGAGACAATGAAAATGCAAAACTCAGCTACCTACTACATATACAGTGGAGTACAGGGTTATATACAGGGGTTATTCAAAGGGACCAGACTTTCAGTTCATAATAGCAAGAAGAGAAATTTAGAACCAGTGGGGTCATGTTATAAGTTAGAAATTTGTTAAAACTAGTGGAGATTGAGCAAGGCTTGATATTTTCAAGATTCCTAAGGTATATTTTTCAAGATATTTTACTCACATCAAAATGTGTAGAATAGTTTGGATTTGATAAAGTTTTTCTCTTACAATAATGGTCCTGTACCACCTGCTTGGTAACATTTTTTATACATAATCGGAAGAAAATGTTTTACCTTCACAGTACAATGTTCTTTTAATGTATTCTGTCACTGCCTGTTGTTTAGATACACTGTTTTCAAATTTTGAGAATGAAGTTTTTTGGTGCCCAATGGTTATATTTTTCTGAAATTTGCTTCAACTCAACATTTTTCATAGAACAGTTATGAGATAGAAACCCTGACATATCTTTTGTTAAGATAAGGTCTTTTAATAAACTTGGAAACATATACATCATTTAATGGTTGTGCTTTAAATCCTTCTCCTTTATGTACATCCTGGTATGAATGTTTTTTGTGCCTGGAGTTATACCAGAAAATGCTTTGATATCATGTTCTATAGACAAAGCATGAGAAATCATGTTTAAAGGGGTATTTCTGAGGTTGGGGACCATTCTTATCATTTTCAGCAAGTCAAATTGTGTCGGTTTGCCAAGTTTCATGGCTGTATAGTTAACAGAAATAGATTGACCATACTAACGTATTTTGAGTACTGGGCACAAGTACCCCAGTCTAAAAATAGCACAAGGGGTATTTCTGAGGTTGGGGACCATTCTTATCATTTTCAGCAAGTCAAATTGTGTCGGTTTGCCAAGTTTCATGGCTGTATAGTTAACAGAAATAGATTGACCATACTAACGTATTTTGAGTACTGGGCACAAGTACCCCAGTCTAAAAATAGCACAAGGGGTATTTCTGAGGATGGGGACCATTCTAATCATTTTCAGCAAGTCAAATTGTGTCGGTTTGCCAAGTTTCATGGTTGTATAGTTAAAAGAAATAGATTGACCATACTAACGTATTTTGAGTACTGGGCACAAGTACCCCAGTCTAAAAATAGCACAAGGGGTATTTCTGAGGATGGGGACCATTCTTATCATTTTCAGCAAGTCAAATTGTGTCGGTTTGCCAAGTTTCATGGTTGTATAGTTAACAGAAATAGATTTACCATACTAACGTATTCTGAGTACTGGGCACAAGTACCCCAGGCTAAAAATAGCACAAGGGTTTTTTTCCCAAAATGATTCTATATTCTATCTTGTTACGCATATCGAATTCTGTATTTTCATTAAGTTTCATGCTTTTATCACAATTTTCACGATTGTTACCTGTCATGAACCTTATCAGACTCGCTACTACATTTCATCAAAACATCTCTTCGTGTCCACCACTTTACGTCACAAGGTCACGTGACACAGTGGTCCGACCGCGTTCTCGCTCCGCCATCGATGAGGGCAAATTTCGACTTTAAAAACTTAATAACTTAAAAACTACATAACGTATTAAAAAAATTCAAACGGTTTTGGAATCAGCACGGGAACCTTTATCAGTGGTAAAAAAATTGTTTTTCACTTCAGTTCCCCTTTAATTTCTTTTAAAAACGAATTATTATGAATGTCTGATTTTTGGAAACATACGACTGTAGACTTAACAGCGCATAAAATCTGCCGAACAGTTGTAAATGCACTATGGAAACACGATCAGACTTGAAATTAGTCTCTGTATGCGTAAAAAAATTGTGCATTGTGGTTTTTTCCTGTGTTATTTAGATACAGCAGCACAGCAGCTAACAAATGTACTTGAAACGTAATTTCCCGAAACAATATACAGATTGCAAATTGCAGTATACAACAAATTTTATGGACGAAATATGCCACTTTGTAATTAAAATTTTTGTTTTGTTATATTCTAGTTTAGGGTCTTGTTTTGTGCAAATATAACCAGATAAGATAAATTGCATTATTGTGTAAGAAAAACATGAAGGTTCAGAAAAGCAAGTTTAAGAAGAATAAATATACAGGCACAATTGTGAAAATAAGTGGTTCAATAAAAGCATATTTTTCATGGATCTTCTGCTTTTCAATAAATATTTAGATAAAATCCGAAGCTTTTGCCTCATAAACAACTGCAACCTCTCAAAGTCTCTCCAACCTCTTTCTCGTCGGAGGTGTGTCGCCTACCACTCAACTTTGTACAAATTTTACCACAGACTTTGCTCTCTTAGATTAGAGTTATGATCCCAGGTCCCCTGATGTACGTATGCAATACCAGAACCACTTCTATAGTGCTTACCTTTTCCGAGTCTCTTCGCAAAATTCACGAACTCTGTCTAACAACTCAACATTACTCCCCAGATCTTGTAAGCTTTGGACGCTTTCCAAACTCTTTTAACCTGTCGTTATTCAATACTCCAATCAACAAGCTTGCTGCTGTTTTCTCTCTCTCTCTCTCTCTCTCTCTCTCTCTCTCCTCTCTCTCTCTCTCTCTCTCTCTCTCTCTCTCTCTCTCTCTCTCTCTCTCTCTCTCTCTCTCTCTCTCTCTCTCTCTCTTTCTTCAAAGTCCTCTGTCGTGCCTTTTTAGGGTTTTGCTATAGGCTCGCAGGCCTTTCCCTAACATCATCAACTAAAAATGATGATATCTTGCAACTTTTCATTGTTATTGAAAGGCTTTTCTTACTTTTGAAAATCACTTCTGTTCTCCCTGTTTACATTTTTAGTGTCATTTTATTTCTATCTTTTGTGTCATTCCTTCATCAGCGCAAGAATTCGAAGGTGTGGCCATTTGCTTAAGTTCTACAAACCATCAAAGAATAGATTCTGTGGTCCCATGTACATATGTTCGTTTTTTGTCCATTATTTTCTGCGGTATATCGTTGGTATGTCAAATATTGCAAAATATGTCAGTCTTAATGGGGTCAACTGAGAATTTTGAACTATAGTATGCATTATTTATGTGTGCATAGACATAGTTATGGGCTGACACCATTTTCTAAGTATATGAGTTCCAGTTATTTTAGTTCAGCGAATGCTTCAAATGCCTGTCACCACTATATATAGATCGGGATGAATACGATAAAAATACCCTTCTCGAATGCCTTGTTAGCATATGTTAAAGCAGCAGTTTTCTCCGTGTCATGAACTGCTTGCGAAAGCACCACTTATGACACTGGAAATAGAACTCTTTACATGGTACAACGGATATTGACAATCTCCGCGAACTCTAGGGTGGGCGAAAGCTGTATAGGATTCTTGTGAGGCTCGTCAATTTTCATTAAAATATAAACCTTTAAAATTGCCATTGTAAAGGTCACATTGTTGCCAAATATGTTGCAACGTTGGGCTAAAAGGATTAAGGATGCCAGCCAGCGGACTAAGAAAAAAAGTAATAAGAACATCGCGGGTCGATCTGCCAAACAATAAGAACAAACGAGAACATGCCAAGCCATAGGTGAAAATAGAAGATAACAGCAATGTGTTATTGAAAACTTACTGTTAACAAAATGTGTTGCAAAACAGGGAAGATTTTGAGCGCTTATAAAAATTTATAGAATTCAGCTGTAGAAAAATCCATGTTGAAATAAGAACAACCCGATGAACACTCAGGCCTCATTTTGCAAAAGTTAAGAAAATCGAGCCTCTGGGAAATATCTTATTGTCATACAAAAGATTGTTTAGCAAAATATGAGAAAACTAGACGTCAAATTTTTACAGCAAAATGTCTATGACCTTAAGAAATCGTCATTAACTATTGGAGAATTGGTGGCCTAGTGCTCAACTCCTTATGCTTATGATTGAAGAAAGGTTTATCTGCAGTCGAGAAAATGGCAGCTTTTATAAATTTAGTGTACCGTGAAAGCATGCAAGAGTCATAGCTCTAATAATGACTGGATATGTCACATTGCTTTGTTTGGTCTCAGCCACCTTGTGAGCCAACCAGAGATTCTGTATATTCCTACAACCGACTCAGGTTCAAGTTTATTAAAAGACCTTTTCCAATATCTCAATAACTTTTCTCTTTCAGCTGACTCTTCTGCCCTGCTCTTCTGTTACGGGGTCCAGAGAACGATCCTAGTGGGCCAACTGATCATTATGCGATAACTAACACTGTTCTAGAGAATAACTAGCATCCTAAAAAACAATCAGGACAATTTTATAAACCTTTTGACAGAACATTTAAGTTCGTAAATTGGCAATGTATACCCCACATATTATCGTTCAAACTTTATTCTTGAATATGAATTCCTTTTTTAGATTTGCGAAGAGATTTTGAGTCACTGTTTAGCACCTGACTGCCAAATGGGAGGCCTTGGTTGTGATAACATGACTGTCATTCTAATATGCTTGCTAAACGGCTGTCCTTATGAAGATCTCGCCAAGAAATGCTCTAGACCGGCTGACATCAGCAGTGAAGAATCCCCTTCTCAAGAGAACGGAGAATGAAACAGTTCGTTTTACGAAGAGAACAGTACCGTTAGTTCTAATAGTGTTTAATATTCCCATTTGGCCTTTGGATACAGCACGCAAAATTTCAAGGAAATTTGTAAATAGCTGAAAAGTTCATCAGCTGTGTTTTATTTAATGTATTTCACAACCAGCATTTTTATAATTGATTCATAAATGCTAGCCATACACACTACCACAAGGGCCTACAAACAATTAGAAATAAGGGATAACCTATTTATAGTAGAGTTTCCCCACTTTCCTATTTTGATGTCTCTGCCGCGTGGTAACTTACTAAATATTCAGTTGTTTTGTTATTGATCGTCTGTACTCCATTCAATCCAGCCTTACATCGATGGTCAATAATAACACAGAAGATACCAGAAATATTCCGTTTCAAGCTGAAACACCACCTCTCCTCTATTTACGTTTTTTAAAGCTTTAATGGCCATTTGCTGCTGGTGATTTTCTCTCTAATATTTTCACTATTTCAATGATTTTCAAACTTCGATGTGTGTTTTTGTTTTGAAGATGTAATTCATGTGATATTCTATTGATACCTTTTTGCTTCACGTACGATATTTTCACGGACCTGTTGCAGGAAAATTTTATTTTCTTTCATTTTACGCTAACTTCCGAAATAGTCAGGGTTTCTTATTATCATTGCAGTTATACTGTGCTATGACTAAGCCAATTCATAGTTCCGTGACTGTCTTTAACAAAGACTTTTCTCAAGCGAATTTCATACTGGTGAGTAATATGTCCTGGCTATGAAGCGTTTTGGTTGATATGACAATGGGATATAGGGAGCTTGTTTTCGGTTGTTTCAGTTGAAGCTTATAAATGCCATTATTGATTGTGTCGTCCTGACTTTCATTGCTTCCTATGGTGACATGAGGACACGGTTTGGGTTCTAAGTTGAATTTAGGCAAAAGAGATGAGAAGATTTAGGTCGAATAAAGTGAATGATATACAGAAGAGGCTTTAGTTAACAAAGAAGTGGCCATTTATCCAAAAAATTTCTTAACTAATAATTTTGTTTAAGCCATCAAGTAATATGATAATTTGTCATACAGAAGTTTAAATGGCTCTCAACATTCCGAGAATGAACAAATACAGTCGGTAATTTGAACTTACAATGGAAAGAAAAGTTGTTGCTTTTGACAGAATTGAGGAAAATTTGAGTTGAAATATCAGAATCTTTCTTTTTTCGAACAAGATGCAAGAGAATGCCCTTGCATGTAGAGCATGTTGGTCAGAGCCACAAGCTACATTGTTTGATAGAGTAACCCAACGTAGATTTCTTGCACCGTCTTGAATGGAAAAATGCTCCTTTATCAACATCCAAGCCACTTGCCTTTCCATTTAAAATATCCCAGATTCGATGCTGCCTAGTGGCTCCGTGGTTACGTCAAATGACAAACAGATAGACAGATAGTCACACGGGAGCTACACTCAAGGGGTAGGAGCATAAGAACTGAGAAGCGGGAACAGCGATAAAAGATCACCTTCGCAAGGCCTATTTTCCAAGGAAACCCGAGTCGACTGCTCCTCTTTTACTAATGAGGGGTCCTTTCATTAGCTATTCGTGAAATGCGAAAAACGGGCCGGGAAATCGAATTGGAAAAAAGGAAAATCGTTTCCCTCCTGTTCCTCTGGTTCATACGCCCATACCATCCACCTACACTACTTATCGACCATTATCTAATAAAAGCATTTTTTTGGTGTGAAATCAGAAGTCATAGCATCAATTTTAAAAGCCAGGCCTAGAATTTCAATAAAGTTCTTAATTTGTTTTCAAATTTTAATTGCTGTTCTGATGTGGTACCACCTATGTTATGTAGTGAAGCGTTAATTCGATGAATATAGAATTAAGGATTGATTGTGTTATTAGTGCTTCTCTATTCTGCGTCCCCAAATTAGATATAATATTAGTATGGTAGCGTTGGTTTTTTGCTTTTGGAACAAACACAATAGATGTTTTCGAATGAAGCATTAATTGTCAGCTTCGCTTTACGGTAGCCTCTTCAAGTGATTTTGCAAATTTTCACTCCTGTCGCCAAAATAGAATAGATTTTTCCAGTTTATCATCTGTGCAAACAAAAATCTCGTGCAGAACTGTTATTCAATGCTCATAAAAACAATTTAATAGTATCTAGTCGTAAAACAACCAATATTGAAAGAAGAACAACATCAACAACACCTGACTGTCAGATCATCCAAAGAATAAGTACATCGAGCCTCAGCAAAATTATCTGGTTTTAATAGAAAAGAGTAGATCCGAGTTCAGCGGTTTAGTTGAAAGTAGCTTAAAGTCATGGTGGACTAAAGTGATCTCCCAAAGCCTCTATAAGACATAGAGAAACTTGCTGACGCAAATCGAATTTTGCTGGTCAATTGACGTTCAGGTCCAAAAATTATTTCTTGTTAACTCTACGCAGAAAGAATTATTAATGTTCAGTAAGATAACTACTATGTACTATTTTAGGGGTGAATAAAACTCTTAGGTAATAATTCAACCTCAAATCGATAAATTAACGTCCTTCCTCCCCTCCCCCCATCCCCTCAAAAAGTTTATAATATAAACCTATTTCACCAAGAAATTGCAGTCAGTTTATAAAAATATATCTAATGCATATTTTGGGTATGACTTTACATAGATCATTGGCGTATGGTTTTAGATTTAGGCCTTCACGACGGATTACGAGCACGTTACGAATCACGAGCGGCACGTGACTCGATCGTCATCTTCAAGTTCAAAACGTGACTTTACCGATAACCATGATCTCAAGAATGTTCAGTAACGCCAGGGATCCGTAAAGGACAGAATTGATCTGTTATAAAACCTAATTTCGAACAGGAATAAAGGGCTTTCTCGACAAACATAAACATTCTTAGGCCTAATAGCTCACGCTATAGATAACACGGAACAAAGTTGTTTGGTGTTGCCGGCAACTACACTACGTCAATGAGTACTTAAATCTAATTACGTCATTAGCAAAGAGCTTGTTGGTGACGCTCATGCAATTACGTTTTGGCATTCTTCACTTATAATTACATTCTCTAATTACATCAATTCTTCGAGACGCGAAACGCATTTTTTATAATAGTTCATTGGAATACTTGATGTTTCGAAAAGATTTATAAAATATGATATAGCTAGAGAGTTCCAAAAATGCTAGAAAAATAACATACAAAAATGCGAGGGGCAAATCACTCCAAGAAAATCTTGTACACTTTTTGCGAAAATCCTATTGTTTTATCTGAAAATCCCTGGAAATTCTTTTGTTTTAGGGAAAATCTCGTACGCTATTTGCAAGAGTGAATTGCCCCTCGCAAAAATGCATGGTAGCGACATGTATAGATGCGTACAGTAGAGAACAGAAGGTTTTGCAGGCAACATAAAGCAACGAGTTTCTCGTATAGGAGCTTATACGGTTACTTAACAAAGAAACTGAAAATAACCAAGCATGAAAGGGGTTGGTTGACTGGTCATGATATTTCAGTATTGTAAATGTTCTTTCTTTTTCTAAGACCACAAAATAAAAGTTTTGTATTGCAGTTTAGTAGCACAGGTGGTAAACGGGTGAAAGTTGTTAAAAAATCATTGTTTTTCTTGCTGTTATTTTTTGGCAAATCCAGCCTCGATGTTCCTACTATTTCGTGTCATTTTCATGTCGTGAAGTTTCTATAATTTTAAGGTTGTGTCATACTAAATTTCCTAAAACTGATTTTTTTATAAAAAATGTGCATAGGAAGATAAAAATAGTAAGCAGTGGTGCGAATGTAAACATCCTTCCTCTGGAAATTGCAGTCATTGCTGGATTATTGATAAGAAATTAGAGTTTTTGCTACAGTCATTTGTGGGGGCGAAATTCCCAGCAGAAGCCTCGTTAAATATCAGTAAATCGTTGCGAAAGTAAATTTCAAGGCGTTTATCTTCCCTCCGCTACGTTTCCTGCATTTTGTCGTGAGGACAATTGTGTTGATTTTGAGGGTTTTTCCATTGAAAATGACTCAGAGACATTACCATTCTTATCTGTTTACATAACAATCGAAGTCGCCCGATTAGTCATTGTTTACAAACTTGTGCCCGCGAGCTTGTGCATTGTTATCAAATTGATATTGGCTCGTAAATTCACAGACGACTCGGTTTAAAACGATATAGTATTTGAGTTGCTAGGCACAAATATCGGGGAAAGATTATATGTTGAAAGACCTTATTCAATTTTACGTCGGGAAAAGAAAGGTCAAACTATATTAACAAAAATCTATTGTGTTTATCACCAGATGATAAGATTGCCAATGAGTGATGTAGTCGGTGAACAAAGACAAAAAGAGGCACACTCATTTGAATGCAAAGACCAGGGAGAAGCTTTTGTTTGAAAAAAAGAAAAGATTTGTCAAGGCAATAACAACAGGCTCTTGCAATGAAGTCGGCTGAGAAATTAAAGTGAAAAATATCATCTACAGCGAGATAAAATATTTCTATCTTGTCTATAGATAATCTAAGTGAGGGAAAGTTAAATCTTCAATACAGCACATTTGCCGTTGCTTTCTAGTTTACTTGGATAGACGAAGAATTCTTTGTGAAAACTGGTGTAAATATTGTCCAAAAGAGTTGACCTGTTAATCGCATTACACGAGGGGAAGGAAGTGGGGGTGTAGGCCTGTACGGTGATATGTGAAGTAGGGATACGAGTTACTGTATTTGAAATGAAAATAGTTTCAACAATATGACGTGTTTATGAAACATGTTCGGCCTTATTTACATGCTGGGTCCACAACGTTGAACTCTTTATGAATTTTCTTGGAGCTGATCCACACCCATGTTGATAGAGCATAAAAAGCAGGTTGTTGTTGAAAATATTAATCCAACTGAGGAAATCAAAGATGCGCTTTTTGTTTTTTTACTTTTCTACTCCCCATGTAAGCCGATAAAACAGACTGAAAACAAAAGTTTTCCATTGGTCTATTTCTGCATACCCACCATCTTCCACAGCAAAGCCTAGGGAGAGGTTCTTGTGAGACACAAACGGTAAATGTGTCGTCAATTTCGAGGGGCAAATCACATGATGAAAATCTCGTACACCATTGGTAATATTCAATTGTTTATCCTAAAATCCCTGAAAATCCTTTTGCTTTTGTAAAAATCCATTATCGGCTCACCTAGTCATTGGATTAACAGATCCATATTGTATGAACTGCACAGCCCTACAATTCTGGCATGATTTAAACTTTCTCCATACAGTCAACACGTAAACATCTCCAACAAAGTAAATAACAAGTAAACACCAACTGATTAAGAAGAAGTTCTCTAGTATAATCTGAGTGGCCAGCATTCAATAGGAATTTTGTTTGCACAATTAATAATAAATTTCACAGTTGAAAAACTAAAGAACCGTCACGCCTTTTCTAAGAATGACTGTTGACCATATCAAGAATATGAACATAGCTCGAAAATAGCGGACTCCCTGAAGAAACTAAGCAATGCAGATTTCGAAATAGATTTTAAATCGAGTAATAATTAATGAGACCTTTTATATTGGAAATTGTTTTCACGAATATTAAACAAATCCAAACAGACTCGAATTATTTCTAGATGAAAGGTTTGTTTGTGGTAAATTATTTTTAGCTCATCTTGCTGGTCGAGCACAAAAGAGCATATTTCGAATATAAACTAGCCAAGGCAAATAGAAGAAAAATTGCTAAATTTAGGTGCGTTGCATATCTAATGCAAGTGCTGGAAATTTTCAAAAGATTGATGTTGAATGAAATTGAATGCTTCTGCAAAATAGGCACCCTAAGTATGTTACAAGCTTTGATGATTTACTTTCTCCAAAATTCACCTGCAGGAAACTTTGGGTTAATCTAAAATCTATTGTAGATTCTCTTTTGAAGCAAACAATTTTTAAAATCACAACTAGCCTAACATTATTCCCTTATCAATGTGGTTAACCAAAATCCATCTTGGTTTTCCTAGATTAATTAAGACAAAAGAATATACTGAAAAATATAATAATCATTCATTGATAGATCTGTCTATACAGACTTGCAGAGGAAAAAGCTTGTGATAATAAAACTATTATGTTGAAGTCCATGAATAGCCCCTTAGTCAAATGAAAAAGTGACTACAAATTGAAGTTCTGTGATTTACCAAAGTCAAGAATACCCTTTCAAAATGTCACATATGTTTATGCGACAACCTTGATTGAATTAACTCACCTTTTCTGCAACTCAGATTGATTAATGGAACAAAATTCAAGCAATGCAGTTACAATGCTTTGTGAATATGAAATAAAACAGTATCTTCAGATTTGTCAGAACAAAAGCAACAGATATTCAATTTAATTCAACTATTTCATAAAACGCAACCTTAAAAACAGCTAAATTTGCATTATATTCAACCCAGGAAAAGTTTATCGAGCCTAGGCTGCTTAAAATAAGGTTCTAATAAAAAACATGCTAACAAAAGCAATGCAACTTATATATGGATATAGAATAAATTAAAAGAATATAAATTGAAATAAGTATTATCAATGAATGAAGCTACAATGCCTGCTAAAAGTACTTGGAACAACCAGCAATTTGAGTTGCATTTGATAATCTTTCATTCCTTTTTCGAAAAAAGTTAATACTTCTGCCCCTTTATCCCTAAAACAATATTGATGATTTAGAGAAATATCATAAAAGAAGTGCAAAAGAATGTGCTTCCTAAAATCCTTACCAGTTTGATAGTAAACCAACATTGTTCTGTAGGGGAGAGGGGGATGATTGATTTTGATCTTGGAAATTGACGTCAGTGTTCCACGACTCTTGGCAGGCCATTTATCTACTTATAACTTTTTATCATATTACTTTATAGGGTCATTGTGAATGTTTTGTAGCTACTAAGACTAGTTAGGTTTCTCAGCAGATTATTACACAGTCGAGCTGACATGCAAAACAAGACATGATTCTTCTTCACTTAGTTTCTTTTAACCAATTCATGTGTTGAAGGTTGCCAACTTTATAAACTGATATAATGAGTATAACTAATGTAAGCTGATAAAAATTATTTTATTTCCAAATACTTGTTGCTACATGAATCTGGAATGTCAGAAAGTTGAGGACAGAAAATAGCGATGTATCCACTTTCGCTATTTAATAATAGCTTGTTTAAAGGCAGCATTTGTTTTGATTATGCAACCAGAAAGATGGCACCCTATCACAACTACATAGGAAAGAGCAAATTTAATTGGATTTTGAAAAACATAACAAAAAGAAATCACAATTAAAATTCTTGAAAAATAAAAAGGTCTTGCCAGAACAACAGATGAACAGATATGATAATGGAAAACTTTCTCCCACCATCAGTTAACAAGCTGAATTTAATACCAGCATATCCTGCTCTGCTATGCATGTGGAAAGGCTTAACTTAGAAGCAAAGCCAAAGCAATAGAACTAAGTCGGGTTTTATGAAGTAATCTCTAGAATTAAGATATGATATTGAGGTTTTTATCTTTTTGACTCTTAAGCAGACAAACAACTCTATGTGGTATGATTGAAAACCTTAAATAAAGGAAATTGCCTAATGGCATAGTTAAATAAAATACTGTCTTGCAACCTTTAGATCATAAACAATAAGTGTCACACAAACTAAGCCAAAAGTATTGCTCCTCTGGTTACATCTGTCCTTGAGCTTATTAAGATTCCAATGATATCCATTCCCTAAATCCTAGAAAGATGAAATTGAAAAATGTGTTAAGCCTATTGAAATTAAAGGTTTCTTTATGTAGCAGCAAGCCCAAATATCCCATATGAAATTTGCTTTGCTGTGTTAGAGACTGCTAGGCAAATACTAATAGATGCTCTCTGCTGCGATAAAAACAATTAATTTAAGACTGAGTCTGTAAATGCAAATACAAGATCAACATTATTAATCACTAGTTCAGGGTTTGAATTTTTCCAGTTACTGGAATTTCTTTAGATTATTCCTTCAAGCTATCAACTAATAAAGAGTAAGATGAATGGATAACATAAAAGACAACTAAATATCCTTAATCATCTATATCTTGATACTAATGTTTGAAACATAAAACTTTATGATTTTGAATAATACACTATATTACCTATTAGGTAATTTCAAAAGGTGTAGGAAACACCTAAAAGCCGAATTCATATTTCAAAAAGCATTAGTGGTTTGTAATTAAAAGAGACAGCACAGCAATAATCACATAAAAAGAGTTCTAATCTGTGGTTTTGAAGACAGTAGTCAACATGTTATTGATTTCTAAACTGAAAAGAGTTCTTCTTAGATTACAGGCTTTTGCCACTGTCTCATGCTAGCCTAAAGGAATGGCCTTTGGTTATAGTGGTTTTGTCTGGACATGGAACCAATCTTTAAAATTTCACTGAAAGGATTAACAAGCGGTTGCAGAAGTCAGACAAATGAGGGTGGGGACCTATTTACCATTTATCAAACTGTATATATGACAGGACTTGAAATCTGATCATGCTTTTTATGAGGGTTCTCTATGCAAATTTTCAATCTCTTGCACTCAATGAAACATGTTTATAATTCTGCAAGTTCTACATTCACATCTGCATTGTACTTAACTGAAGTAACTTTCCCAAAAATTGTCAATGTAACAAGGAACAATAATTTTGCAAGAATGCAGAGTTTGACGAAAAAGGGATAGGAGAGAAAAAATACTGACACATATTTATTTAAAATACTGGCAAGTGCTATCTCAAAATCAACACTCGCAGATTTTGTTATCCAGAGCTAGGCATTATCATTAGAAAACATAATATTATCTTAAATTAACACCACACATTAGGCCAACAGAGACAAAAGTAGCAGCATAAGTATATATAAGTGACACCTAGGGAGTGCACTTGAAGAAATATTACCAAAAGGACCCAACTTATTTTGCTAGGTCTAAAATTTTCAATTTTCTTTCTATTTTGGGATAAGAAAATACTCTCTTATTCTGTTTGGCAGCATACCAATTTTCTTTTTGCATTGAAGATTTTGCTATTTTTTATGGCTAATAGATAACCTTGAATATTCAGTTTTGTACCTATTTTTCGAAAACACAAAGGTACCCAAACATTTTAATCATTAGATCTGATTGTGCCAAGTTTGACTGGTCATTAAAAAGTTCTCCCAATACCTCAGAAACAGAGGACACATTTTACAGAAAGTGAAGTACCAAATGAATAAATCTTACTTGAAAATGAATAATTTCTCCTTGCTAAATTGTATCAAAAGGATTTATATCAGTAAAGGAAACCCCCAATGGCTAAAACATTTCAATCCTTGACTTCAATAACACTAAAAGTTACTTGGGTATTTTCATGATTTTCGATAAAAAGAAATAACTGAAAACAAAATGTAGAAACTGTGCTGAAATAGGCACATGGATTCCGCATTTGAATACAGAAAATGTCCTAAATTCGAAAATTTTGCACGTTTTTGACTTGCAGCTGCAATTGCCTTTTAAGGATTCTGTGATGAATACGCAAACAAGGATGAAAGGTCGCATGTGGCTGCATTGGGAAAAAAATACGAATAAAAATGCAGGGCATGGTTACACTCAAGTTTTGCTGCAAATTGTTATAAATCGTTTTGGATATGTTACATGCGACATTAATCACAAACCGCATGGGCGGTTTTGCAAAAACATCATGTATCCGAATCAACAAACAGACTTTCGCAAGATTACAGAAGCGTTCAACCTCCAGCAGGCGACAAACACTCGGTAACATTCGTAGAAATTGCCGGAAAATGAATGACCAAATTTTCGGTTAGTGAATGAATGGGCAAAAATCGCTCGCAGTTCAAAATGGCGCTTAAATGTGCTTCGATGCTAGGCCAATTTGAAGCATAAAGTTTTCTCGATCTCCCAATAGATTAAATCCGTGAAAAATGAGCACAATACTGACATTTTAATACTTTAAGGGACACTGATGAGTGGGCGAGAAACTTAAGTTATCTTTCAAGAAGTTTGCAGCAATAAAAACAAGGAGACACCCTTTCCCGAATTCATAACAAAAGATAAAAAGCTTTACCTGGAAATCGCTGTCCCTTGAAAACAGCTAGGTATCAAGCCAAAAGCATTTGCACCAAAAATAGATTGTTACTCAGAAATGGCAGTGAAACAGGAATTCGTTTCGTATCCTCATCCGCGGACAACGGTCACGTTTCCACAACGTGAAAACAATAAAGTCGTCGACACTAATTTGTAAACAATATTGTCAAAAACAAAAGATCCAGTACAATAAACCAATCATGGACGAACTTTCTGTTCTGGCATCCGGAGAACTCAACAGCTGGGGTTTCAACCGCTCATCTCAAACATGCCAAAATTCACGGAATCTTATTGGTCGTTTTACAATTTTGACGAAAACTATTTGTCGTTCACCGAGAATTAAACTCGCTGAAGGCGATTTACCATATATGGGCAACATTATGAACTTTCGGTATGACTCGGAAAATATAAGCATTGCGAGTATTATCGTTGAGTAGTCGGTTAAGATTCGTTTTACGGAGAAGGAACTAAGGCAGCGCTCGACGAGTTTTCGTAACTCAGCTATCCTTCGAATTGCAAGATGATTCCAACTTCTAACTCATTAAATACTATGGTCGAACAACTTCAACTAATCTCAGATTTATCGTGTGAGCAAAGAATTGCTGAAAATGAGACTGAAATGGCAAATTTACGTGGCAAAGCCGAGAGGATGCAGCTTTTTCCTCAAAGCACCGAATCAATGGACGATTGGCGACAGGTAAATTTTCGTTTTCGTTCGTACGAATTCTTAATTCTCGTCAGGAAATGCATTCAGGCCTGTTTCCAAGCTCTAGGTTCCTGGATAGATTTAGTATATAGCGATTAACGTACACTGTTTATCATGGTGTATTCAATTTTTTAGGATAAGTGTTAGTAAGTCTGGATTTCAAGATGTTAAGAATTTCAATCGGGAAGGAAAACTTGGTTTTCGCTGCAACTTTCGGTGATGAGAGGAAATATCGTAAGAGCTTCAAATGCGGCCTCGTTGTAGCTTCAAACTGACTGTTGTAGGCCAAAATGATATTCTTTTTCTGTGAATTGAGTGGAAATGTAGATATTTCGATGAAATAAAGATATGTTTGTGCGATTTAACTGAATTTCCATTTGACCTCGTGGATTCCGAAAATCTAAGTTCTCGTCGTACGAATTTTTCTAGTTGTCCTATCTGGGAATGCTTCTGGATTTAAGCCCTATATATTTATACATTGCTTGGGAATTATATGCTTTCCTGGAGTATGAGGTCTTTAGTGTCTGAAGCCTTTTCTCAAAATCGATATTGAAGTTTTAATTCTCTCGGGGCTTCTCCATTTTACGATTAATAACGAACAACAACTCGGCAATGGCGCACAGACCACAGCAAATGAGGGTAAAAGAAAATTCTTTCTACTCTTTTTTCTACATGGGAGCATTTTTACTTGACATTCATAAGCTACCAGGTGCTAGGCTCAATTGCAGAATGTTGATCCCCTGTTTTACATGTAGTTGAATTTGTTTAACAATCTTCGCTTATTTTCGGGTGATTTAATCAACCGACTTTTTATCTTCTAGACTCTCAGAGAAATGGACCAGTACCTGGAGTCCCAAAATGCATTGTCACTTAATCGTTCAAGACGACGGAGTGTTTCAGAAGTAGAAGATTTTTTCAGCGAAAGTGAGAGTGACACTTCGTCTAACCCCGATACATCTTCGTCAGTAGATTCTAACGAAATGTTGGGCGTCGACTTTAATGAGAATGGCGAACAAAGTTTTTACGGGCCTCGAGGAGATAAGTCATACGACAGCCAGCTGAATAATACAGAACAGGCATATTGCCCGGCATCAGTTAATGAAATGACATCTTTTGTACATTCGTCGTCGCCACCCCCGCTACACCATCTACCGAGGCCTAGCATGGCGAACTTAGACCCAACGAACACCATCTGCGATGCCCTTACTCAGACCTACGTACAACTGCCGGTTACAACGCAACCCTGTGGAATGAACTTCTTACCCACACCACCTCATTCAAATCCTGGCTCGCCTGAAATGAACTTAAATCAAGTTATTCCAAACCAGTTCATAATTTTCTCTCCGCCTCCACCATACTCAAGAAGAGAAAACCCCGATCTACAAAAACGACGAGTGCACCGTTGTGAATACCCTGGCTGCACTAAGGTTTACACCAAGAGCTCACACCTCAAAGCACATATTCGAACCCATACCGGAGAGAAGCCATACAAATGCTCGTGGGATGGATGCACTTGGAAATTTGCGCGATCTGATGAATTAACACGTCATTTTAGAAAACACACTGGTGCCAAACCGTTCAAATGCAGGCATTGTGACAGGGCATTCAGCCGATCTGATCACCTAGCACTGCACATGAAGAGGCATCAGAATTAAGTAATGCAGAGTGCTTACATCGTCAGTGGCATTTCAAGGCATCCCACTGCATTGCTTCATTACGGAGTCATAGTGCAGCCATGGAAGAGGCATATTCCGAACTGTGCAGACATATGTAACGTGGCTACCGGTCGATGGATAAAGAAAGTTACCCCACAAGAACCAAAGCCAAGAAGACCTATTTTAAAAACTAACTCAAATTGCATCACAATGAAGAAGAGTCTACAGAAGTTTCGGGACTGATATTAAAAACACGGCAATAAGGGAAAACATTTTTGCTTGGCCTTCAATATAATATTAAGTTTCAGAGATTAATTTTTTCATTCGCAAATTATCGCAGTTACAATTGATGGCAATTCGACTTGAATTTAAGCTGAAACCGCAGAAACAACAAATCAAATATCTGCAACCAAGGTTGCAAATTTTTCGATTTAGTTTGAATTTTGCGGCTTTTCGTGTTAAAATTTGATGCAAGATTTCAGCGAATTGCGAAATGCCATTAATCACATGTCTCATATTTGCAATTTTAAACTCGTTTTTTAGATGAGTGGCTAATTCAAAATATATAAGATAACAGTATAACCCGCAAACTCGTATTCTTCGCTATCGAAGAAAAATGTTACTGCATTCTATGAATACCTCTTCGTTGTTTTCTGCTTTAGCAGATACTTTTCTCCTTTGAATCCAGTTTGTTTGCTAGAAATTGTGACAAGTTTCATCTGAACTCATCATAGCATAGGCCACTAACATTTTAGAATAGTCATCCTTATTCCATAATTTTACTCAGAAATTAAAGGTCGTCATTTTTAAATTTTCAAAATTTTATGCTCTGAAGCTCGTTTCCTTCGTTACATAATATTTTTACAGGCCAGTAAAGCAATCCTTTAGTGGTTTTTCGTTTAGGTTGTAAATAACGCAACAACGCGGTTTTTAGGGTTGACACAACCACATGGCCCATAACGTACTTTAACAATACTGTTGATAACGCGGGTCGATCAACAATAGTTTCGCTTTTATATTTCAATGTATAAATTGGTTTTGTTATACGAAGTAGTATGCTGTGTGTAATAAGTCATTCGTGGACTTTAAATTTGTACAAATTCACTTTTAGTTGTATTAAGCGAAACAGGTTCCTTACATGTATTTCCTAATCATACATCATAGCAATAGAAAATGAAACGCATAAAAAGTTGTTTTTGTCACTTTTAACTCGACTAATTTTTTCAATCCGACGGTCCTCTAGTGACTGTGTCACAAAGACAAAGGAAACATTACGATCCCATGATGAGATTAAAGCTAAGCCACCATTGTGATTACAATAATGGCTTTAGGCTACCAACTTCAAACAAGACTAGATACAATGTGACATTGAAGAATATTGTCTGGATCATTAGTCTGGGCACATTTCCACTCGGTGGTCAACAGACGACTGTCACCGAACCTGCGGCGGTAGTAAACATAACAAAAGGGTTTGTGAGGCACACCCGAAACAAAGTCGCACCTCACCGAAAACTTTCCAGTGAAGCTGGTGACTAGACAGGGGGGTTTATGTCTCCTCTTTGACCTTTTATAGCAGGGGCAGATTTAAGCAACAATGATGGGGGGGGGGTGTTAGACACTAATTTTGGTGCCACACCCTTCAGGTCACTGGTAAATGATGGAAATGCCAATTTTTAAAATTTGGTTTTCAACTTTAAGGTAGAGACGATACAAAGCAGTGGCGTAGCTAGGGTTGGAAGATTGATGGGGCAAAGGGGAGAAAATTTTTGCTGACCAGACCCCTAAGAATTTGGAAAAACACCCATCTTCAAATGCGTTTGAAAAAGCTATGGCATCTTTACGTGGCAATTTCCCTTTATACAACGTCATATGAGCGTTTTGTGGCTGACCATATTCTACAACTGTCTATTTCCTTCACCATTCGTTTCCTTCACCTTCACTAACGTTTATATCCTGAATTGTGTAAGGCGAGGAAGCACTAAGTGTAAAAAGTTCTTTTCCAAAGTTGTTATCAAATATCCAAAAATAGTAAACAGTATTCAAAAGTTTTAAACCAAGTCCGTTTTCCTTGGAGCAAAATCCACGAGAAGCATTTCAGAATCCATTTTTTTAAGGATTGGATTGCTTAAGCATTTTAGTTTCTTATTTATCGAGAATGTTTGAGAACGTGAAAGACTTTTCTATACAAACAAGGGGAAAGTGTTGAACATTCTGTACAGATATAGAGGAAATTTTTTGCGACAACGCCGAAAATTCCTCTCTCCCCCCCCCCGCTACGCTACTGATAAGAAGATAAATGCTGCTAAGAAAAAAAATAAAGTAAAATATTTATTTTGCTAATACTGACTGCGTTATTTTGTTAATACTGACTACCAACAAATAATTTTTACCGAATGAAACAATGTTTACCGAAAGACACAGAAATATTGGGAGGGGGTATCGCACCCCCTTGTAATAGGGTTATTTTGCCAAATGAATACATCCACCCTATCGTTACCGTCGATATAAACTAGTCCTTCAATGAGAATTGAGACAAAGAGACAAATAAATAATGTTTCAAACGTCCATCTTCCGATCATGTGATCTTTCCGCGAAAGGTTATAAACTTCACAATGTTTCTCTAACAGGCACAGTCTTTCACAAGCACTGTCCGTTCAAACTATACTATAGTAATGCACAATCAATAAATTATCTCGCGCGATTCCATAAATCCAGATACGTATACTATAAATCCATACTTCATGTCGACAAGATCTTTCACAAGCATCTTGCCACATTTATAAAGCGTCGAGAAACTAAATATACAAAATATCAAACTTAACCTAATCGCTCTTAACCGAATTCCATTTCCAACTTCAACTCCAACTCCAACTCAAAAACTAACTCTATATGTAACACGCCGAAAATACAACTAAACAAGAACTTATTGTAATGCTACATAGCTACGTAAATTTACATAATAATAGTGAATACAAAATATATTAGTCCCAAGATTAATTACATAAACTGAACAAGGATACTAAAAATCCCAAAAGAAATAGTTAATGAATCTAAAGGTGCAATTAGAAAACAAAAGGAATTATAAACAATCGAATGTGCGAACGGTGATAAAATTACTAAGGTTACAGGATGCAAAACAAACAAAATCCAAACTAGCACTATTACACCCTACACAACCCCCACCCCCCCCCCCCTGCTAAATCCATCCCTGCTTAATAGGATAAGTTTGATATTTGATATCTGACGATTGGGCTAGCATGCTCTATCAGGGGTCTATAACCCTTAAGTCCCACCTCAGACTTCAAATCCTCATGCAGCATAAAATCCTATCCAACGTATGAGGCAAAGGAGAGGGGCATGCCAAAGGTGGACCAGGGGGCTATGACCCCAGAACATTTTCGTAAGATTTGCAGAACTTCTGGGTGGGGTGAGGAAAATTTATTCTTTTCAAATCAAAACTATAGTACACGCTGTCTATTTTGCAACATAAAGCAAGAGATCTGTCAGGGCGACGGTGCCTCGACTTGTTATCCAAACATTTGTGTGGTTAGGGGGGAAGTAAAAGGCTTCATGAACAAAAACACCGAGAGATAACACCCAGGCACTGCATTTTGTCAATACCTGATATGGAAAACAGATTATACCCCTCTACATCAACAGATAATCAGAAGTTGAAACTTTTGTGACATGTCTTAGTTCGATGACTTTCATGACCCCACCCATTATGGCAAAGCAACTGACTGCATAGCATAAGTGGTCGGGGCTGTAGGTGCTGTTTTTTAAGTAGCTGTGGGTAGTGTTGTTTTGGGTGTGATTGTGGGTGCGTATCTAATTGAAAAACTGTGCATAACACTTCTGGTTGGTGAAGCTGGGGGAGAAACCCATAGTACCCCATTCACATAATTCTAGAATTCTTTACCCATTTTACAAATTCAGTATATGTATGCTGATTTATATTTGGCCCTGCGAATATACTTACACTATAAATTATTTCATATGCCATAATAATTTAAGCTAATAAAGAAAGTGACAAGGCACATTGATGAATGAATATATGCTGCAATGGCAGACAGATATTTCTTCAGTCTTTTTCATTTAGTCTTTGTATTGAGGCATTAAATGGAGGAGACAGACTCACAGGATTTTGGTAATTGCCTGTTCTCACAAGAGTTATTCCAAGGTCTGCTTTGGAAATCACGTTCTATGAAAACAGTTGTAGACAATTTGAGATGAGAGGGCGTTTAGAAGTTGTTTACAACTGTTGACGACATTATAGATAGATGGAAATGCTACGCTATTATTCTGGCTTCTTCATTTGGGATATTTTGAAGCATTTTGGGTTTCAAAGTAGAACGTGAGCCTCAAAAAGAGTGGCTGAAATATGGCTCCACGATGCTTCTATATAAATTGTCTAAGGTTTCAGCTTCAACATAATTACGTGCATAATGCTGTAGAGATCTTTTATCCACTGTTCTTATCTGACTTCCCTAGGTAGATCAATCACCAATTTCTATTCGTAGGCTTATTTAATCGTTTTCCAGGTTTTTATATAGCCCCCTACAGTAAAAGTATGGACCACATCTATATTGTTTTTCGGTCAAACTAATCATCATACGTTGAATCATCCAGTCAACACAGAATATAAGGTTGTCGCCCTGTAACCCGCTCTCGGTGCATCAAAGCCCCTGCCACATTTATGCCTCATAGAAAAAGTAATGGCCCTGGGCACGATCCCTGTGGTACTTGTAATCAATGTTCTCAATACTTTAAGCTTTGTAATCAGCCCTCCAGTCATAACAATAAGAACTGAACTATGTATGTGTAAGTCCACCAAGTTTATAAAATTCAATTTAATTTAATAGTTTTGTTGTCCAACCTTATCAAATGCATTCTTGTGATCTATGAAATACATAACAGTACCTTCCATTGTCTATATCGATGAACCAAAAACTCGTCCCTTTTAGCAGAAATGTCATTACCGGATGTTGAGAATGAAATTCTAATACTAAATAATTATTCTCTTCCTGATTATGGTAGAAATGATTTCATACAAGTTTAGCCAGGCATTAATTTAAGGAATTTTCATCACTGCACAAAACAGCGTAAAACGCAGATTTTTGGGGCCAAATAGGGTGTGGCTAAGGGTGTGGCTAAGTTTTGAATGGACCTCTTTTGGACGGACCAACAATGTTTACATTTTTTTCAGCGACGTTTTCAGTGTAATTTGGCCTAACTACAGCTGCTACTGATTATGTATAAATCTTACCAGAACATATCAAACCTGGCCAAAAGAAAACAGAGTAGCAAACCTGATAACAGGAAAATTGTTTCTACATTTCCACCCTATGGAGTCAATATTTTATTTCTTTGTGAATGGGGGAAATGGAGTGGAATGTAATCACTCACTGTGTTTGTAAGTTATTGATTAATCCTTAAAAGGCAAATCAACTGTTTCTTTTCATAAAATGTTTCTAGCTTTTTAGAGACTTGATCTCTAATCATGTTACATATTTCAATGTTCTAAGAACTGTCCAAAACACAGCCTTACTGTATATTACATACTTTTTATGTAATATGAGGTTTGTTTATATGATACAAATCTGTAACTGCTACTAATCTTTCAAAACTATACCTGGCTAACTTTATGGATACCCGAACCAAAAAAATTTTTTATCTAAATATAAAACAAAGATAGAAATGGTATTCACTACAATAATTGTAGCGTATTGTATTTCATACAAAAGAAGAGAAACAGGCCATCATTTGATGGTGGTAGTGGCATTGGGTCTTTTTGGCCATGCAATGCAAGAAATCCCAGGTTGTCTGAGGCCTTAGGATAATCTGATAGAAGAAGCTTAGCTGCGAGCGGAGCGAGCAGAAAATTTTGTGACCACGCCCCTTAGAATATCTTAAAATATATTTCAGAATATTTCTAGCAGTTATTTTCTTGCAATCATTTTAAACATGCTTTTATTACATTTGATTAATTCCAGTCTTAAAATAAGTTACATAATTACTTTATAAGACCCCACAAACCTCGGCTTATTCCTTGGAATCTTAGCAATAACAGGATTTATTGCACTTTTCTTTTTATCTATTTCTTTTCCAGTATTATTTCTATTTTCTTTAAAACACTTTTTGCATTATGAAGTGCGTTTGTTATTAACTGTATATTTTTTTTTGTTAAAG